ATTATTATTATTATTATTTTATTCAAATATTGTCTAATTGTGTCTTATTTACTATTAAACGTTTTCAAACTAAACTTGCTTACACTACCGTCTTAAATCATATTTCTATCACTGATGAAAAATATGTTGTCTTACATTAAAATTAAAAAATTTTATTAGCCTATTCTATTTATGTTTGTATGTGAACTCGAAATCAACCCCAACTTTGCTTTAAAAAGCATCACAAGATCTCCTAACCGAAGATCACTTGATCACAAACGGAAATCACATTGTGTGTATATATATGTATATATATATATATACACACACGTGATTTATTATTATTATTATTTTATTCAAATATTGTCTAATTGTGTCTTATTTACTATTAAACGTTTTCAAACTAAACTTGCTTACACTACCGTCTTAAATCATATTTCTATCACTGATGAAAAATATGTTGTCTTACATTAAAATTTTTAAATTTTATTTATCTTATTCTATTTATGTTTGCATGTGAACTCGAAATCAACCCCAACTTTGCTTTAAAAAGCATCTCCTAACCGAAGATCACATGATCACAAACGGAAATCACATTGTGTGTGTGTGTATATATATATATATATATATATACACACACGTGATTTATTATTATTATTATTAGGGCTTCATGTTAATGTTAATTGAATGTTTTTGCTTAAAAAAAGTGCATATAGCTGCTAATTGTATTTGTTGTTTGTTGATTTTCAAATATAAAACTTATTGAAATGTTTTCAGTGTGTGTATCAGTTCTTTTTGAACGTTTTCATCTAATTTTAACAAAACCGTGATAATATTGATAATTGTGATAACTTTGGTCACTATAATCGTGATATGAAATTTTCATACCGTTACATCCCTAATTTATACTAGATGTAAATCTAAAAAAAAAAATAGAAATAGAAAAATTAGGGGGGGGAAATGAGAAACTTTGCTTTGGCTACTAAATGAAATAAAATAAGTCGAACGACTAAAATGACTAAAAACACAAAAATAAACCAAAATAGGTTTTTTAAAGAAATATTAAAAAATTTTAAATAATAAAAATGGCAAAGGCATATAACAAAATTACCAAAACAAATAAATAATTAATAGTAGTTACCAACAAAATTAATAGTAAATACTATAACAGTATAATTTATACTTACGCTGTGTATTCATAGGGCAAAACAGACTCCACAGAATCCAGCCTGTTCACAAACAGCTCTATTGCTGACTGTCAAAAAGAGAAGCATCAAAGGTTATGGCAATGTTAATGTCCACAGTAATCCCTTCTTTCAGTAAAAAAAAAAGTGTGTCACTCTGAAGTTTATAATTACTGATGTGAGGGCATCTTTAAAATAACTTTATAAATGATTAGAACAAAGGGCTCAGAAAAACAACTACAATGTAAACCACAGTCCCCAACAAAAATGTCATAGGCTAGTAGAGTTGTTACTATTGTAAATATATATATATATATATATATATATATATATATTTATAGGATTAGATGTGGAAACGGAGTAAAAAGGTTTCAGAAATGATCTCGAGGATGATGGTAGTAATACATTTTCCACAGTTTCAAGCAATCAAATATATTGTTGATATGACATATGATACTTCAGTATATATATATATATATATATATATATATATATATATTTATAGGATTAGATGTGGAAACGGAGTAAAAAGGTTTCAGAAATGATCTCGAGGATGATGGTAGTAATACATTTTCCACAGTTTCAAGCAATCAAATATATTGTTGATATGACATATGATACTTCAGTATGAAAATATGAGTAGTAAATTTTGCACGCTTGTTAATGGAGTATAATGAGAATATGGAAATAAAGGGGAAAACATGTCACACCTGTTGAACCAGTTTACGTGTCTACATTGTTACCAACTACCTGCTATTCCCCTCAAGTACAGAGATAAACAGATCGTATTTAACATATTACATTACACTATTCAAAAACACTAAAAAGAATATGACGCCATGACATGAGATCAATGGGATTGATCCAATTCATTCGTGAACCACTTTTAATTCATAACCATGCGTGTGAAGGTACTTTAATTATTAATTGTTGTGCGCTCACGCTGCTTTATCTCGGTAATATTACAATGAAAAGTGAATTAGGACTGAAGCTGTCAGTCCCTAACATGATTCCTAACGTCTCCTTTTAGTGTAATACGTTATTTGATTTTTTTAGAGAACCAAGTTATTCCTTTACAGTCAAGGTCCGGTTTGAGAGAGTGACATGTGAATGAACGGAACAGCTACACTTGCATGTTCACAGACCTGCGAAAGTCCGTTTTATGGAAATACAAAGTTTTTGAACGCGACCAAATGAGCAGGTTTAGCGGTTATCTTTATCAAGGCAACAGCGTTTCCACAACTGACACCCAGCAATAGCATTTCGAGCTAGCATCACGCAGCATAGACCCCATTACAGAGAAACACGCCACATCTCGTGCATTTTAATCAAATCATGTATCATTTATATTAGCGCTTTAGTATGAACATTTACCTTGCAGTCAGGCACGTCGCTGTTTTTATCGCCCTCTTCTTTCTCACAGAAGCTAACCGGGGCCAACCCAGGAAGATAGAAACTCAACGCGTCCCGCAGCGACCCGCACACAAAAAGCAACACAATTACAACACGGACACGGTGGAACACGACCATTTTGCCTCGACCGACTAGTTAAGGATTCGGTAGCTGTATTTACATGCGTGAAATGTCGATTTGCGTGTCAGAATTCAGACATTGGTGATATCCAAGCACAAGCGCTACCGAAACTGCTGCCTGCGTAGCAGCATCTGACTCCGTCCTCAGACACGTCATCCGTCACGAACAGCATGATGGGATAGTGGAGGACTTCGACGCGGAAGACGATGGCAACATCATATACAAATCTTCAAAATGAGGTCCTTTTTAAATTAAAACTACTTGAATCTCTCATTTGGCTCCTATTTTAAATGTAACCAATATTTTAATAACCCCACTTGCATGTTTACTACTAATGTAAACCTAAAATAGATTTTTAGATGTATTTTTTTATTTACACATATTATGGATGTAATAAAGCAACATCCTGCGTCTGTAATACATTTTTATAGGTTTATAATACGGATACCACTTTAAAGCAACAAGGTTGATACACTAAACCACCTTTTCCTGTTGAATCGTGTTTTAATAAAACAGGGAATCACTGAGAACAAGAGTGCCGAGACTGATCACAAATGTTTGAAAACAAAACTGAAAAACAAGCGGAACAGAAGTTAGATGCACATCACAAATACAGTCATTTTACTGTACATCTTCAGTACCCACTGTATAACCTACAAACATTCAGCACCCGTTGTTCACACATCTGACGTTACAAAAGATCTTCTCTAAAACAAATGTAAATGACAAAAGTTCTTACGCAGTACATGGTTATCACACTTCTGGTTCAAGGTTCAAAGTTCAAGGGCTGTGAAACCTTAGATCCTAGCATCTCCACAGGCTAGTATGTCCAGTCTCTGCGGTTCTTCTGAGCTTTAGGGCAGCAATCCTCCATCAGCACTGACTTGAACAGTTTCAGTATGTGAAATGAATGGGGTTGACGGTGATCGGAGATCAGTACTTTCAACACGAGCACGATCAGGAGATGCACAGCTCTGCTGGTGTGCTCAGCTGTTGGGCTGCAGGGGCTGAATCAGGCTTCTCCTGTCCACTGGACAGGCTGGAGGCCATTTTCTTTTTAAAGAGACGTAAACTCAGTTGCATAAGTTCATTGTCCACCACTGGAGCACTGGCGTAGATCTGCTTGGTTGTGCCCTACAGGATGAGGAACACAGAAGCATTAAACCAAATACTGAATCATGCACTCATTCAATTTAAATAAAAAAATGAGTACAAAAAAATACTTAAATATACAGCAGTCTGTTAAGGACTGATAAATTCTAGACAAATATCACTCCTCACATGATTTTTTTGTAAGAAATGAATACTTAATTCAATAGAAAAGGATGCACTAAACGGATCAAAAGTGATAGTAAAGACTTTAACAAAAATATTTCAAATAAATGCATTTCTTTTGAATTTTCTATTCATCAAAAAAAAAAAAAAAAAAGAGTTGAATTTATAATTTCTACAAATATATATATATATATAAGTATATATATATAAGTATATATAGATTAATCGCATCCAAAATAAAGGTTTTGTTTGCATAATATATGTATATTTACTGTGTTTATTTATTATGTATATATAAATACACACACATACAGTATATATTTTGAAAATGTTTACATGTATATAATTATTATATTAATATATAAACATAACATATTTTTCTTAAATATACACATGTATGTGTTTGTATTTATATATACATAATAAATATACACAGATATATATATATATATATATATATTAGGGCTGTCAGTCAATTAATATTTTTAATCTAATTAGATGTGTTGATTAATCGAATTAATCGCAAAATAAATTTCACTGAAAATACTTACAAAAGATTATTTAAAGCTATTTGTGTTAAATGAGAAAGTATCAAGTAGACATTACAAATTGTAGCTTTATAAAGAAATATTTTATTTGATTCAACAATTTATTACACAAACATTTAGGCCAGGGGTAGGCAAGTTCGGTCCTAGAGAGTCACAGTCCTGCAGAGTTCAGCTCCAACCCTAATCAAACACACCTGAACAAGCTAATCAATGTCTTCAGGATTACTAAGGCTATAGGCAGGTGAGTTTTGTTTTCAGGGTTGGAGCTGAACTCTGCAGGACTGCGGCTCTCTAGGACCAAACTTGCCTACCCCTGATTTAGGCTAATGTAATGGTCTAACGTAAACTATGGAACACAAAAGAAGATAATTTGGGGAAGCATTTCAGTATTTTTTGTTCATACAATGAAAGTCATTGGTAACCAAAACAGCTTTGTTACCAACAGTCTTCAGAATACCTTCTTTTATGTTCCACAAAAGAAAGGTTTGAAATGACATGAAGGGGAGTAAATGATAACAGAATTTAAATTTTTTGGGTGAACTATCCCTTTAATGCTTTTTTTATTTTTATTATTATTATTTATTTAATTTTTGTATTAAATGATATGCTAAATAACTAAATCTGCCAGCAGGTGGCGGTAAATATCTTCATTCCATTCGTTCAAGTGGCTGATTCATTCAGGAATGAAGTAAACTCTCTTTTTATGAATGGGTCTTTGAATCATTGGTTCACACGATTCGTGCAAAACGCGGATTCATTCCGAAACGAAACACAGCTGTGTTGCTCAGAGAACCGCAACAATTCTTCTATGGCTTTAAAGGTAATTATGTTCTCTGCAAAATTGAGCAAGAACACATAATATTGTGTTTAAAATATAACACAATATCAACTTATTTACTGAACTGTTGTATAAAATCACATTTAAACTGGTGATATAAACTCGGGACAAAATCAGTAGTGTTGGGTTCGAGTCCACCCAAGTCGAGTCTGAGTCTTTAACCAATCGAGTCCGAGACAAGTCATAGTCCAAAGTCCGAGTCCAACGAATCTCTATTATTTATTAGTATCTTAACATTGTTTTAACCTTTACAACTAGAAAAACGCAATGTCCATTTAAATGTAAACCTCTATTGCATCTTGCCATTTAGATTTTTGATTAATAATTAGTGTCCTGCTTTGCTTTGCAAACTTAAAGTAATGTAACAGAAGTTATAGCAGAATTGATTTATGTACTGTGACATATTTCAGAGTGAAACAGGTTTAAGAATGTGAAAAATTAAAGACTTGACTTTATTCATCGTTAAAATAAATGAATAAATTCAAGGGTGGGGGAATCTTAGTGAATGGAACCTCAAGAGCAGGAAATGCACCTTTTATCTCAATAAAAAAAAAACAAGCTTTATATCATTTTTACAATTTTTATTAAATATGAATTTTGAATAATTAAAATTAGTTTGTGTCTGCTTATTCTACTCATCAGTGTTTGACCCATTAAAGAAGAAACCGCATTTTAATTTCTGGGTTAGACAGGGCACACACTGTGTATAAAAGCCCTACATATACTTTTCATAAGTCACAGCCAACTCACACCTGTTTTATTTTTGAATGCATTTATAGTTACATTAATTACAATAAATTACATTATGTAAGGAATAGGCTAACTGATGAAGGGCCGTTGAATTATTAGAAAATAATACGGACCCATAAAAACTATTGCCACAAAGATGTTAGAAAATGTATTTTTCTTTGAAGCTAGAAACTGCCACTATGTTTAAAAAAAATTCAATACAAAAGCAAAAAATAATAAACTAATGTAATAAAACATTCTCAAGCTTACTGAAGGCAAGTAAACAGGCTTCTACAGAAAGTAAAGGCTTCTACAGAAATAGCCTACTACTGACATTTCATGATGCAATAAATGTAAAAATAATCTTCACTGTATACATTAAATATAGATGATTCTTATTAAAGTTAATAAGTGATTCAGTCAAGAGCAGAGAGAGTGATTTTCTCTTTTTCTTTAGTTTGATTAACATTTATGACGCAGTCGGCGGCTGCAGGTTTACGCTGTTGCTTTAAGATCTGACGAATAGATCAAATATTTTGACACATCCATATTTCTCCCAACTGTTCAAGTTCACTTAAGACAAAACCGACTGCATTTAAATGAATAGTCTCCAAGACGGGCATTTTGACATAACTTTTCGTGTGTGTAGCAATAACAGAATTTAAGAGAACTCGACATTCGCACACTGACTGAGAGGCGCGTTCTGTGACCGTGCTTTCGGTGTGTGAACACAGAAACCCATCAGCTTTCAAGTACTGGACAAGGCTTAAAAACACATGCAAATACTGAATATCACTTTCGTGATAATGCATTAAGTCAGTGACATTTCCGTCAACTGTCCCTGGACTCGGTTGGACTCTGACATATTTTTCGAGTCCGAAAGGCTCGAGTCCGAGTCAAATCCAAGTAAAAATGCATCCGAGTCCGTGACAAGTCTAAGTCTTTTAAAAATTGTACTCGAGACCGGTCTCGAGTCAGAGTACCCCAACTCTAAAAATCAGCACTCATGTGATATTGCTCTCCCTGCTCGTTTAATATCGTATGATATAAATATGAGACAAAACTCATACAGGGGCATTTTTGCACCAATATCTCGAATTTTAGGAGCATTTCTGCATTTATGGAGTTGTTGCCCTGCATCATGATGAACAGGTCTGGGGCCAGTGCGTTAACTGCCTTAAAATATTTTAATTGCGTTATTTTTTCATAACTAATTAATTAAGTTAATGCGTTAAACTGACAGCCCTAATATATATATATATATGTATATGTATGTATATACATTTATATACACCCACACACACACAGTGGGGAAACATTTTTTAATTAAACAGTTCCAATGCAGCAATTCCCATTAAATTTTGACCAGATGCTGGTATTAACTGAAATCTACACAGATAAATAAATCACTATATTACAGTCCATGAAAAAAGTTGTGTAGTAAAGTGAAATGACAAGGAAAGAAAGTATTGAACACGCTGTTGAAACTGTATTAATTAATTAGTGGAAAAGTCTTTATTTGCTATGACAGCTTGAAAGTCGCTTCCTGTATGAACAAACCATAAATCTTAAATATTCTGGGGGACCCTCTTGTGAATCTTGATCTTTAGTTTCTTCCACAAATATGCTCTATTGGGTTTAAATCTGGTGATTGCCTGGGACATTCCAAAAACGTTATTTTCTTCCTCTGGGACCAATTCAGTCTCCTTATCTTATTCTAATCATCCTGGTAGATGGCAATAGATTCATCTGAAGAATTTCCCAGTACATGGCTCC